TCAGAAACTACAGAGATAACTCCTCTAGGTTTTGGTGTGCCCTCAGTGTTTATCACATCTGTTTGATTATTGTTTGCATCAGTAGATCGCCCTGGAGTCACAGATTTATCTTGTGGCTTTGATGTGTGTTTCATAAACCTGAAAAAAAAAAAAAAAAAATGAAAGATGGAATGTAATTACCAACTAAGATCGCCACTGGTTATTTGACAAGCTGGCTTACAGTGAAATTATCAGATCATGTGTACTAAAGGCATCCGTGGTCGAGTGTTGATTGATAACCTCGATCGGCCCTCGATTGACACTCCATCAACATCTTGACAGTCAACCATATTTTTGATCGATTCATATGAGTTGGTCGACACTTGGCCGACTATCAACTGACTGTTGATCAAGTATTGATAGAGTTTCAACCGAGTATCGATCGGGATGTCCATCGAGTATTGATTGAGATGTCGATCGAGGGTATTGATCAAGAGTATTGATCAACACTTGACTGTGGATGCCTCAAGAACACATGATCCTAATTTTCTTCAACTACAAGAATGGGACACATTAACACTTATCTATTAATTTATTATCCAATGACCTTTTTTATGAAAAAAGAATCCCCCCAAAAAATCATACAAAATTAAGCGAACATTTTTGCAATAAATTCTGACACTTTAAGGCTATATCAGTTTTATATTACGGTGAGCAAGCAAGTGTTAGATTGTCATGTACTTCACGTTGATATATTTCAGTTTGTTTAATTTTTTAAAAGTTTTTATAAGCTGCAAAAAATTTCAAAGAAAAACAGAGTTGACTAATTTTTGCAGACACTTCCATCGAGTGTACATGAATGAGTCAGATGACAATATTTAGCTGACTATCGACCAACTGTCAATGGAGGGTCGATTGAGATGTCAATCCAGTGTTGATCGAGGGTATCAATTGACACTTGACTGCAGATGCCTTAAGTACACATAATCAAGATTTTTGAAACCATTCTATTCTGAAACATTTACCTTTCCATTAAACTCTGAACTCCTTTATTTGCAGGTTTTGATGAAGATGGGGTATCATCCATGTCCAGGAAGAAGGGATCTGCTGCGGCACTTAGTTTGGGTGTGGCTGCTTTAATGGCCCCCTTTACTCCATTAACAGCTCCTGTGGGACTGTCAGTATCCCCTGGAACAGGACTAGTAAGCTTGTGATCATCAGGCTTATCGTCACTAACTGGTGAAGTATTTTCTGGCGTATTACCTGATGACTCTGCAACTTGTAGCCTCCTGGTGAGACAAAGAGCATTGTATCACAATTTGGGAGATGTT